CCTGACAGACATCCAACCTATCTGGATAGTTTTAGGTTAGGTTGTAACTCGAGTGCTCTGCACTTGGTACTTCCTCTGATGATTCACTCTCTTTTTTCATTTCTGTGGCAGCCGTTTTCACTACATCGAGAAGGAGGGCGGATGCTAAGCTGTTTTTCTCCCAGACTTCATATGAAAAACACTTTATCAAGTCTAAACTCAGTTGTGACACGGTGTGCCATCAGGTGCTGGCACATGACCAGCCGCCAGACTGACTCATTTCACGGTCAAAATATCCCATTCATCAAAAGTGGATAAATTCGGTCTGAGCCATAGAGCTGAAGCGATCAGGTGGATTCGGATAAATGTTTCACTTGAGTTCATATTTTACGCGTGTTAGGCAACGCGATATTCGATACATTGGAGAAGTTCCAGTCGATCATGACAGACTCTGAATATAAACATCACTCCTTCACTATTTCATAAAATTTTTCTTTTCATCTTTGTGGGCTACTTCGTCTCCTTCAGACCGAATTCTTGACAATCCCAATTAAACCCACAGTCAACGCATCATGCTATTCGCGCTACATCAAATGTAAGCCTTTTTTCCTAATATTAAAAGTGCAGGGGAGACAAATGAATGGCTGTTCAAAAGGTAGGTTCTACTCGTGTTTACAAACTTGCTGGAACTTAGTTCCGGGAGAATGGTATGCACCTAGTGCAGTTCTAAGGCACTTAGCACATGGTTTAGCGCCCAGTGACAAATGGGTCCGTCTTAGCTATGTTTGTCAGAAAGTCCAAGTTCATTCGACGCGAAAGTTCGTTTCTGGTTCAATATGTGAACCCTTCCCGTTGAAGAGTGAGCAGGAGATAGAAGCTCTGACCTGTGAATGTCAGAGATATCAGATATATCAGACTAGTACGTATCTTGGGGATACACAGAAATGTCCAAAGTTGCTGGGTTCAACTGTTCCAGGAACCTTTGGCATTTCTCCAAGAGCCGTTCATGAATTTGATGACCCGGGTTGTCCCGAGCTTTGTCGAGGCCGCCGACAAGCCTTCGCTTTCAGAGTGACAGAGGTCAGCTGTCTCACTTCATCAGAGTCCTCTATCAACATGCTGATACTCTATACTATCCTGTGCCTAGTATTCCTACATGGTAAGTCTAGCAAATTCCATTTTCGATCATAAGATACGGTAGAAAAAGTCATTTGAATGATTCTGCTCTAATAGCCAAACCACGCCAAATCGTTCCTAGAAGATATTCTCCCTTTCTTTCATTTGACGTGACGGCAGATGTGTTAGGCCAATTCCTTGAAGCTGCAATTGGGCGAAAGGAGAATCCACCATGGTTACACTCGAAGCTTATCAGAATCAGGGAGGGGATTTTAGCGATTCTCTTGGTGGAGTCTAATGGGAGAAGAAGGCACTGCAGCTAAGCAACAATAATGGTTTACCTGGCACTGAACTTTTATTGTAGTAGATTTTGTTTAGATGGTTCTGTTTATTCAAGTTGGCCTGACGTCTCGACCAGATCATCACCCTCAGTGGCTTAAACATAGCTCTACGTTCCGATGTTGCACAGTTTACGCTGCAGATTGTTCCAGAGCTTATAACGACTGAGACTCCAGAGTCAGGTTTTTCCCAGACGCCCCAAGGAAGATAAAGAGCTTACTGTGCTGACTGGGACAAACTCTCGAAACTTTTTTTTGCGGATGTTTTCGACCTATTTGCGTACATTTCGAAACTAACCTAACGAAGAGTGACATCTCTTTGATGACATTCAAATCTTCACGTAGTACATATAATTTAACAAAAGTGACCAAAACCCTCTTCTTAAATATTCTGGAAAGGTCTATCTGTGAATGGTGGGCCATTCAATAATTGCTGAATAATAACATTATTTCGAACGTTATCGTCTTCCTAACTGTGCCTTCAATTCCCTCTTCACATTTCACTATTGCAGAAACACGCATACTTTACTTACTTCGTGGGCATCTCCATCGCTAGTGTGGAGCAGTTCCTCGATCTTTTCACCTAGATTGTTCTTAATCACTGGAACTAGCAATCACTAAATATTACGGTCTCATTACATATGATCGCTAAGTTTGTCTGTAGGTGTGTTCATTCCATATCCCAGAGAATGGGAGGGCGTGGCTGCGTAGATCATTTGGAGGTGGCGGTAGCTACACCTGGTGGGGTATGTCCCTTTTAGAAACTGACGTAGACTTGTAGCCATACGTTCTTGGAAATACGACAAGGGACCCATAAACTAGTCCTATGGGTTGTTTAACTCCATTTTAGGCCCATATTACCCAAATCCATATTTACTACGTCGCTAGGATTCCATGAATGACAAGAAGAGGAAATGAGTGTATGGCGCATTCCACTGAAAAGTTTATCAGCGTCTCGGTGCTTTCATTCTTTTTCCCTGGAATAGAAGACGTTTACCAAAGTTTTCGAGGTTTCTAGATGGCAGTATGAGCCGTATCATTGGAAGACCCTCTTACTGCAGATGAAGAAAACTTTCGGAGAAGTATACGCGATGGGCGAATTTTCATCAAAGCTAAAGCAAAACTGTTGTGCTCACAGATGAGAAAAATCTTTCACTTCCAAGAACAGTGTTGATTTTCGATCTATTTGATGATCATGCTATGCATGATCAAAGTTGTGTGTTTTCAGATGTGAAAAGAAGAGGCCATCATCGGATATTTCTGACTATAGACCAATAAGTATCACTACTTTTTTCTGTAGGCTTTAAGGAGTTGCGTAGAACTCATTCTTCATCATCTTGCAGAGAACGAATTAATTCCTGCTTCTCAGCATGGCTTTGTTGTGGGGAGGTCAACTAGTACAAATCTTTTGGAAACGCTCAACGACTGGACTGTAGCCTTGGACAACAAGCAAAGTATAGATGTTATATTTTTTGATTTCACAAAGCTTTTGACAAGGTCAGCCACTCAAAATTGCTATTTAAAATTAGTAAGCTAGGGTTTCATGAGAATGTTTATGAATGGATAAAAGCCTTTCTCACTGGAAGGACTTATCAAGTACGCGTTAATGCTTCGTACTCAGATATTTTTTCTTTCGAGAGTGGGATTCCTCAAGGTGGGGTCCTATCCCCTATACTTTCAACATTTATACTGCTGACTTGAGTTCTTTCTGTCTACAGGATGAAGTTGTGTCCAAACAATATGCTGATGACCTCAAGTTCTACAAAGTTATAAGCTCTCCTCAGGATATGCTTCATTGATTTTCGAGGCGCTATAAGTTGCACTTTATCAAACTCTGATCGGACATTTCTACCACCATATTAAAGAGCATATTAAATACTATCATGACACTCCGCCACAGCCTTCTGGACGAGCGCGATTCTGGCACGCGACCGTGAGTGGGTGCCTGAGATCAGCGAGATAGTCGATTTCTCCGCCACCGTAGACCACCCTATTGAACTCCGCCCGAACCGGGTAATTGAGGGGATTCAGGTCAGGTGACCTACTTGGATATTCCATCTTCTTTAGGTACTCAGCCCCCTTCCATTCCAAGTAGGCGAGAGTTTCTCCAATGCCCTTCGATTCCATGTGGTGGCACCCAATGCTGTAGCAGTACAAAGTTTCCAAGAAGGTACGGGCGACGACATGTGAGGAGGATATTCTTCACGAGTTGCTCGATGTAACCGCCAGCGCTCACCTTCAGTCCGGGGTCCACGAAGAAAATATTGGTCTTTCCATTCCAGGTACGTCCGGTCCATACCATCAACCCGCGCCTTGGCGACTGTGGTGAAGATGATGTCCTAGACCGTGGCGACGTTGTCGGAGCTGCTCGATGTTGGAGGTCATCCAGATCGAGAGTACTGGTCTCCAGGTAGCTATCCATGGGTGACTCCATACTAGAAGTTTCGCAGCTGTTTGGACGTGAATTCCAAAGGTCTTCTCCAGTCAGGCTGCGACTGGAGATGACTTCATATTTTGGTGTACATGAAGGTGATGGGCGAGAGCCAGCTCCTGCTTATCGAGGAACATCTTGGGTATCTTCCGCCCTGGTACTCGTATCCACATCCTCGCCCCAAAAATCTTATGTGCGATTTCTTCACTGTCAGAGCGGGTCTTGCATATCTGCGTTAAGGCAAAGCCACATTCTACAAAGACTTTCTCGCTTCCTTGGCATGCTATAGCTAAGCAAGTTCTCAATTCATAACTGCTGTGTTTCCTCATTGATGTTGCTGTTTGTTTGTTCTATGTTTAGTTTTGTTTTCGTTGATAGAGCGTTGTCTTAAGCAACGTACTAAATAAATGAACAAAAACTGGCGTTCACCAAAAAATTTCTGCGGGACTCTTGAAAGCCACCATGCGAAATTAATGTTTCGTATGGACCCTCTCCCAGAAAGTATGAGTCCTGCTTCCGCCTGGGAAAGATCTCTTGCGGGTGATGTTATGCACTCTTCAAGAAGGACAGAAGCTCGGTGGAAGCGCGGTGGGCCATTCAGAGCTCCTTTCCGCAGTATGTAACGCAGCCGCAGATATTGGGCAGATAAATAGGGAGCCTGTAAGTAGGAGGGGGGGGGTCGTACAGACATTTCTTCCGGGTGGTGGGGGTGGTACAGACCGTTCGAGTGTCTGCCACGTGGTGCTTGACCCTAATTGTAAGCTGCAGGAAGTAGGCTCGATCCGTTGAATACGTTTGCTAAATAATAAGCTCTTGAGGAAAGCTGCAGCGCTCCTCAATCTCTTGAATCCGCTGCACTTTCGAACGCAGCGTTTCCTACCGCTGGTTAGCTCTGAAGTGAATCCGCCTCTGTTGGTAGAAAACGCAGCTGCGGGCGTAGTAACGCCATGTCTCCTGATTCCGCCGGATTACTACTATATCAACCGTACACCAGCGAGGTGCCTCCATCGAGGTCACTTCTGGTTTTTTCACGGATGTTAATTTACCCATTGAACCTTCCTTGCCTGTGAGGACGATTGTCTAATGAATGGACGTAAAGAGAGAGATAATTTTAATTCCTACGGGTGGAGAGCTGTATGAGATGGTCTGTAACTTTTTTATTTCCAGTGTCTTGCGAACCATGCGAAGACGAGTGGATATTCGTGGCCAGAGTGCACTCGTGCTATATGGCTCCTCATCATCCGCTCACTTGGCTTGATGCCGAAGAGTACTGCCAGCAGTCCGGAGCTCATTTGGTCTCTGTTAACAGCATCAAGGAGTCTGACTACATCAGAAGTAAGTTGAAGCAGAATCGCGGCGTCCGTGGGGAGTATTTACGCACTGATTGGTTTTAGTGCTGGCTGACCAACACAATCCACAGTTTCTAACATGGATAGGGCTTTCGAGGGACGATAACACAACTGAATCACCCTTCAGATGGTCTGATGGAAGCGATTTGAGTTACACGTCTTTCAGAGAGGGTGAGTCGATGAAAGCTTAATAGTCAAATATTGAAACAAAGCTAATCTTACGAATCTTCGTCATTTGTGCACTAACAAATCGAATAGTCGTGTCATAAGATCTCTCGTTCTACAAAATTCGGAGCATGTCGTTTATCAGAAGAGTTCACAAAGACAACCGAGGGCAATCCACAACGTTCATCCCGAACACGGCTTTCTCGCTGAACTACTCCACTAGAAATCGCTGACTTGATTGCCTGTGCTGATCTGGGATGTAAACTGATAGGAAAATATGGGATTTTTTTATTACCTCAAGTAATACGTACCACCGCTTGGCATTCGAGATGGGATGAAGGGCTTGATCCACCTGAGCGAAAACTGAAAAGCGGAAGTTCCGGTTGGCGTCTGTTATCATTTCACTGTCCCCTGCCCCAGCCCCTACCATACAAGGAGGACACCACCAGTTATTGAATATGGAACATGCATTTTCTCCCCTCACAAGAAAAGAATTATTCAGGTGATCGAACGTGTGCAAAACAGTTTCACAAGAAAAGTTTTCATAAGGGCGTTAGGATACACCTATAATAGTATTCCTCGAGCCATTATACGTAATAAAATGCTTAATCTGGATTCCCTCTCAAAACGAAGAGTAAGGAACGATTTATTCACAGTTTTCAAAATCGTACAGGGGCCAATGCAGTTCGCGGCGGACAAGCTTTTTTCCTTTTCTGTTTCATCTACTAGAGGTCAGCTTAGTAAGATTCGCCTCAGAAAGGCAAGGTCTTCGTCCGTAGCCACTTCTTCACTCAACGAGCTGGTTCAGAATACCTCAAGCTCAGCAAGAATATTCGTTTTCCTTTAAAACTCTCCAGCTTCAAACAGGAAGTCTCGCGTCATCTCAAAAAGCGCAGCTAGTTATTTTTCGCTCTCTCCTCTGACCGCTTTTACTACTCCCCTTGTACTTTCTCTGTTCCATTTTTAGCTCACTGACGTTTTATCCGTTTTGCAATGCCTTCCTTCGCTTTATTTCGATGCATGGCACTTTCTTATTTTTACTCGTTTTCGGTAGTTTTGTCCGACTATCTGATTCGTCATGTTGGTTTATGTTCTATGCTTAATTTAACATGTTCCTAGAGAGCATGTAATAAATGAAATGAAACTTGTTATGAGGTTCGCGTCCATCAGGGCGAGTCGGACCTGTACAAAGCTGGCTCTAGTCGTCTGGTTGCAAGCCGACCCTCATTCATTCCTCCGGCTTGCAGAAACTTAGTCGAAGTCTTCAAAATAAGCCACAGTGCTTTCGTGTGCACGGTTCTTTTATCGAGTTTTCCTTTTGCTTCCTTCGCACCCTAATCAGGAAGAGTTTTAACCAAGTTCCCTTACGGATGTTGCTTGACCATCAAATTTCCTTGGGGAACTCCGTCACTTCACGGTCAGTGATCTGTCGACGAATCGAGACGTGTGTACCCTCGAAGTCCTCTCTGAACATATGGGCGTGACTACACTGTGTCAGAGGAAGAGCATAAATTGAGAAAAAGAGGTGCGCGTGAACTCCGGGCTGAACTCAGGCACTAAGAGCGACGCTGATCCGTTTTAAACCTGTAGCCAGGTGCTGCCTATTCAAAACATGGGTGGTGCTGTGTGCGCTCGACGCTCCTAGGCACGCAATTTTGCGCGCACTCTGAGATACAGTATCCCGCCTGCTTTCCAAACTCTGTGCCTACGCCCTCTCTATGCCCCAAGCAATCAGCGTCTTTGGGAGGTGCCCATCTGAGTAACTGCATAAAATCTCCCCCACATACAGGGGGGGGGGCAAAAAAGTCACTTCGACCGAGTCACATATCAGCAAAGTTTTCGCTGCCCAGACAGAGGACGTGGATACGAGTACCAGGGCGGAAGATACCCAAGATGTTCCTCGATAAGCAGGAGCTGGCTCTCGCCCATCACCTTCATGTACACCAAAATATGAAGTCATCTCCAGTCGCAGCCTGACTGGAGAAGACCTTTGGAATTCATGTCACCTCCAAACAGCTGCGAAACTTCTAGTATGGAGTCACCCATGGATAGCTACCTGGAGACCAGTACTCTCG